GGTATCTCGACTCGGCCAGAATAAGCCAGACGAGCACACAGTGGTTATGGGTCCTGACCATGACTTATTTGTGGGCAAGATCGATGATGAAATAGCCAAAATTAGAGTGGAGGAGCAACAAAAGCAGGAAACAGCAGTGGCCACCTACATAGGAAACGTGTTTCTTCAATTCGGAAACAGGAGTATTGTATGTGCACCATACATGTTTAAGTATGTTGGTCCTAAACTCCCTTAATAATTTTTATTTATAAACTTACTACTGTCTTAAAACATGACTTCATTAAATTCGTGCAGTGATCTTTGGATTTGTATATTCATTTATCTCCATGAAGGACGACTTTTGGTTCTTGACTCCACATGTTTTCCACGGAGCAGTTATCAAAAGTTCATCGATATTTTAGATCAGTAAGTCAAGATTTGCATGCATGCTTTTTAACATTTCTATATCATATACGAGAGTTTGGATCGATATGACTTGCTGAATTCATTCAAGCACTGCAGGGCATACAGGTTCTACAAGTTCAATTGTGGACGCTATGATTTAAAAAAAGCCGGAAAACCGCTACATGTGCGGATTAACTTTAAGGTAAATTTTAAATAAACATACATATCTGTCTTGTATATATATGTATACGTAGCAACTATGTAACCACTTGCTAATTCTTATATAGTGCCACAAGCAACCACTGGGATCGGTGCTTTGTGGGTACTATGTGTGCTAGTTTCTTAGAGAAAACGGGAGATACACCAACAACCCTAGTAAAGTAAGTAATAGTTATAAGTGAAGTTTTATCACTATCGATGCCTTCTCCATATTGGTTAGTTGTAAATGTATGATGACTTATTATTTTTTCAGGTATACAAATGTAATCCCATGAGTGTACGCCTCTAGAATGGTGAGCTCATGGCCATTTGCGAGGACTTCTGCTGGTTCATCATGAAAGAAATAATTCACTTCAATGGGAAGTATTTTGATCCGGACTCGGAATTAGCTCAACCACAGTACCGAGAACTCGTAGATTTTGCCAAGTTAGAGCTAAACCACGAAGATTATTAGAGGAGTACGTCATTTGACGACCGAGCTAGCTATGAGTGGAAAGAACTTTGTTTTATGTATACATTATTAGCATGTGATGACTATGGTAAACTGCAACAAATATTAATTTTTTCATGCATGCAAAAATAATTTTCTGTGATATCTATTTGGATTCGTTTCAATTTTTATACAATATTCACTGGCGGGAAACATATGGCGTTAAATTTTGAATTTTTAAAACAATTCACTAGCGGTTTTGCTAATAAACCACCTCTAGAAAAATTGTTCCAGAGGTGGCAGATTTAGGTGAACCGCCTATGTTAAAAAAGCTACATTGGCGGCTGACTTAAACGAACCGCCAGTGAAAATGCTTTAACACTGACGGATTGTTTACTTAAACCGCCAGTGTAAACACTATTATCACTGGCGGTTGTTTTAGAGAAACCGCCAGTACAAAGTTATTTCTACTGGCGCATCTTAACTAACCGCTTGTAGTATTGTTGATTTGTACTAGTCTTTCACACTGGCGGTGGGTTCAGCCGCCAGTGCTGAGCTCCAGTGTACTAGTGCTGCCATGCAGCCAAGAGGCAGCCTAGAATGCCACGGGTATTGCTAGCCGACCCTTTGATTCTGGCATAGTAGGTCAGGGTTACTCTGGTGGAGTGATAGTCGCCGCAGCTACACTCTTGGTGTGGTCTTGTGCGTCCTGCATCCTGACCTTGCTGACTCCAAAGACAATGAAATGGCTGACGATGACGCCCGCTAGAGTCCGTTGACTGGACAGAACATGGCTCAGTCACATCTGTGAAGAACCAAGATATCTGTGGGAACTATTACACTCAAAGTACTGCTACATCAATTGAATCCCTATTTAAGATCAAGAACTTTCGATGCAGTAGGTCACTAATTGTGCAACAAGTGTGGTGGATGCCATGGTGGCATGAGCTATAGTGCATTGCAGTATGCAGTGTCAGCCGGACCGTCACTAAACAACACATACACATGACTGTTTGATCTATGACATGACAAGTGTCGCCATCATTGTACCAACCTGGCTGTGAGAATCTAGGGCTTGGCTGAAACTATGTAGTCTGAAGAGGATCTGAAGCAGATAGTGGCTAAATAGCCTATTGTTGTGGTTTTGAATCTCTTGGTACATATTCTAAACTCAACTATCTAGTTGTCTTGCTGTCGACAACTTCTAAAAAGCAATATGAATGTCTACGCCAAGAAAAAAGTATTTGGAACTATAGCCTTATTGTTATCTCACCTATTCAAACGTCCTTAAAGAATCTAATGTTTTCTTGTTTCACATATACTTTCTCCGCAATCATTAACAACAATCTCTGGACCCACTTTAATAACAAAGCTTCATTAAAAACACATAATATTAATGATATCTACCCCCTCTAATGCATGGGATGACTTATATTCTCAAATATAACAATGTGATGCATGAATTTATTAATGTCCCTACTTCCATAGATGTGAGAGATGGGAGTGGAGAGAGTGAGAGAGACACAACAATGAGTGAGGAGCCAAAGGTCCTCTCCTACTTCGCCTTTCTTGCCTTTTATAGGGAGATGGAAGGGAAGATTTTCATGCCTTGCCTTGGTGGGACTTATATCCACAAAAGAGTCTCTAGAAGTTACAAATGGGTCCGAAACATTTCCAAAGAAGCTCGCGTGCTTTCTAGTATTTTTACTCAAACTAGAATAGGATACCAAATAACTTTATGGCCCATTTGGATGTAGGAAATGGGGCCCTGGATTTGGCTTTGGAATTTACTCTCCTCTAATTCCAGTGTTTGGATAGAACTGTCTGGGGAATCGGCACCCAATATCTCGAGCCTTATCCGCACAAAGAAAGGAGCCTGCCCACAATTCCAAGCTCTCCCGCTCCGTATTCGATGGAATTGTTCCCCTCCCCACGCATACCCCTTCGCACTGGCAAAATAGAAGCGCCCACATAGACCCGCAAAGAGGATGGCGGGGGCAAAAAGGATGGCGGCGGGTGGCAGCGGGAGGTTGACCCCATGGATGCGCTACCTCCCAATGTCCTCCTCTTCCTCATGCACCTCTGGCAATCCTCCATCGTTCTCACTCTCTGCAAGTTTGTCTTCTTCCTACCCTCATCTCCTTTTCCTCCCCATGTGAGGTCCTCCATCTCTGATTTGCGCCTACCCTCGCTGATTCTTCCTTGCTCGGTTGCCTAATCCCCTATCATCATCCAAATCCATGGAGGGACTCCTTTTGTTCTCCCTCTATTGATTCACCCACTCCAAACCCTAACCCCATTTCCCTATTTTTTACAGGATATTCTGTGAAATGTTGGTTGTTCTTCGGTCCGATTGAAGGTATGTGGTGCCTAAAATTGATGTGACCTTGGTGTTTCTGAATGATTTGTTTTTTTATGCTATGCTCTTTACAAATCATGTGTGTGCACATGCATTGTAGCTGCACTATGTCGGATCTTGAGTTGGTCTCCTTCATTGTTGAAGAAAACAAAAGGAGAAAGAGGAGGAAGATTATATTCACTAAACTGTACTTTGAGTCGGTTGTTCTTGGGCTTGCATATCTTAGTTCGCAACATGGGCCAAGGGATGTTGGGTGCTTTAATGATATGATGAGTGCAGGCATACTCTTAGGAAGTATTTGCTCAAGGAAATGTATGATGGCTCTGAAGTTACATGCTATGATGAGCTACGTTTAACTAAAAGAAACTTTCATGACTTGTGCATCATGTTGCATGAGAAGTGTGGTCATGACAGTGTTTATGTTACTGTGGAAGAAAAGGTTGCTATGTTCTTGCTTGTAGTTGGGCATGGTCTAAAAATGAGGTTGTTGTGTTTGTGTCTTTTTGTGCAGAGTAACAAGGCCGCAGCTTGTTATAAGAACAAGATGGTGAAGAATTGGGATGCAATCAGCACAATTTATTCAACAGATCATGCAAATGGTGATGGTGCCAAGACAGGTGCAGAGAGTGCACAAGATCCACCTGAACAAACTAGTGAAGCATCTCTAGATTTACCCCAAAAACGGCAGCGAACTAGTGATGCAATTCTTTGCATTCTTGGAGATATGAAGACTATGTTTCATGATGCTCTAAAATCCACTGATCCATTACCAATGCCTCAGGTTACTCCTCCTTTTGAAATCCTTGCTGCACTTGAACAAATACCAGATTTGGCTAGATGTGACCTTTTGCGGGCTTACGGGAAGCTGATTCTTAATGAGCGTTTATTCCAAGCGCTTATGGAATTGCCTATGGACTTCTGGAAAGAATGGCTCCTTATGTTGAATTAGAGGAATGGTGGCTGGGGATGATCTGTATGCTTGTTGTTATGTAATATAGCACTTGTGGACCTTTTAATATTAATAAGTGTTGTGATATGTGTTTGTACTTGTAAGAGACATGGAATATTGGTCATCAAGTATTGACTATATAATGGATGCATGCGATCAACCTTTTATGTGATGGTTCCATCAATTATTTTTCCATTCTTATGATATTTTACTGCAGTTTGTACTACTTTCCTGAATATTATAATTTTTTTTGTGTGAAATGATATATAATTCGAATTCGAATATATGAAGTCGTGAAAAACATATTAAAGAATGCTTTTACATCGTTGTAGACAACCCGGACTCTTTAAAACATACAATTCAACATATCGTACATCCAAACATGAATTGAAATTGGTTGTTTTTTTTTACGATTCCAGCTATCAACTAATTGCACATCCAAACACTAGCATTGGTATTTCAGGCCATTTCCAATGCCCCTCGGCTTTGGTATTCCAGGCCAATTCAATTCCTCGGCCTAAATATCTACATGAAACAGAGACTTAGAATTGGGTTTCTGTTATAGCCCAACGCAAGAGAAAATATCACTTCCGGTAACAGTCATAAGATCTTTTTTTTTCCAAGTAAGTACGTATTCCTTTGGTTGCCATTGCTTCGGCTTAATTTGGCGGAGATGGCGGCTTCGGTCCGGGACCAGGCGTAGGCGGGCCAGGCTCAGGCGGGCCAGGCGCAGGTGGGTCAGGCGTAGGTGGGCCAGGCGCAGGTGGGCTACTGCGGAAGCACTTCTCGCAGCAGTCCTTCAAGCACGCCGTTTTCTTTCTGCTATCTGTAAAAAAATTATAAAACGGGCAGGAGAAGCAACACATGAACAACCATATTGCGCTGAATTGAATTGCTGCTTATCAATTGTTCGATGGGCTTTGACTGTGCACATACGGTGCGGATGGCTGAGGCAGGTGGCCATGGCGCACTGCGTGTCGCTGATGGCCGGCAGGTCCTTGAAGCACGCGTCCTCCTGGCAACCGTTCTTGCACTCGGCGGAGACGGCGGAGACGTTGGCGTCCCCGGAGGGGAAGTACTCCTCCACGGTGGCAGATGAGCCGTTGTCGTGGTGGTGGTGGCAACCCCTGGCGCATGTCCTGAAGCACTTCCAGGGCTGCGTTTTGTCGTCGTCCGCCGCCGCGAGGAGCGCCACCACGGCCACGGCCACGGCCAGGAGAACGCCGAGCGCCCTGCCCGCCATCGCTCGCTAGCGGGCTAGCTGGCTGGTGTCTCGGTCCACCGTCGTCCAAGCTAAGCGATCGAGCTGATGCTGTAGCTTTATGTGCGTGGATGGGTCGTTCTATATACAGTGTGATGCAACAAGCGGCGCAGCCCGACGAGTCACTTACGCGTGCACGTCGAACGCGTGAGGCCCCGGTGCCCAACGCCCGGGTCGCCGATGCGTGCACGGGAAACGGGGTAAAGCGCTGGGCCGATCGAGTGAGTGAGATCCGCGCGGTTAGATTCATGCTTTTCTTGTTCATGGCACAGTGGCACTGGCAGCTTCGCATGTCGCGGCTCCATATTCCAACGGCAGGGGTCAGGGATCGAAGCTTCATTTTCGATCGGGAAGTGGGGGTCGAACTTCCAATCACGAAACGCAGGCAGAGGCATGTGGGCTGTGGCATGTTACGGGAGTGACGACCTGTCTGTGTCCTCTTCTTTCAGGTAGAGCAAAAAATGTTCAGTACACGAGGCAGCATGCAGCAATGCCATGGTAATGATGGTATGCACAGAATTTGTAGGTCAATATAAACCCTTGAAATACCCAAACACACAGACTAGTCAAGCGCTAAACAAACTAGTAATTTGAATACTCCCGCGATGATAAAAAGTCCTCCCCTGCTTTATCCCCAGTCACAATAACCGGAAAACATGCGCATTGCGTTGATGCGTTCCATCCATACGTGCTAAGCGAGTGTCGAATACTTATTAGCGATGAAAACGGTAAACAACGGTCAGAAAACTCTCAACCGTTTTCTACTTCTACATTTGAATGCGAAAATAAAAACGAAAACGGTAAATCTGGACATGAAAACGAACACAAACTTACGGAATTTCGAGAATTTCGAATACGAACTAATTCAAGCAGAATTATGTCGAATACGGTCGGTATACGAAGAATCAATACGGAATATTGACCCGTAGGACCAAGTGCATAACAATTAACAGGTAAATAATAATTGACAAGTCCTACAACTTTATTAAAAAGTATCTTCATTCGATATCATGTAAGAAAGTTATTTTTTTAAGGCAACAAGCGCTTGTACGCGATTAATATACCGCTAAAACTTTATTTTATTTTTTTGAATATCTTAAAGACCTCAAATGAAAAAACTAAAAACTAGAAAGTTGTAGATCACGTCGAGAGCTACAATTTTCATATAAAAATCATCTTCATCCGAGATCGTATGAAAAAGATAAAATTTATCTAAGGCTGGACTTCCAATGGGCTAAATTTGATTTAAACCGAATTTTGAATTCGGGATATTCCTAATTAAAAGTAAAAAAATAGAAAATGATCGAAAAAATATCAAAATTGTTTTCGTTCCGATTTCGAATTTGATGTTCCGAATTTCGAACCGAAATCGAATTTATCCGAAAATACGAATTCAGGTGGATTAAATGTAGAAAACGATGCAATTCGGTACGGGATATTTCGGTACCATTTTCATCCCTAATCCTTATATCCTTTCATGCTCGGTGATTTTTTTTCCACGGTAGTAAAATAATTTAATCCGAATCATAATTTTTGTACAGCAACTCTGTTGGTTTCTTGGGTTTCATCACTCAAATCAATTTCTACCAATGAGGTATGCGTGGAGTTCGTCCTTAGGTTTTGGTGGGGTGAAATTCATCTCTTTTTAGAATCTTTTTTAAAAAAAAAAAGAAGTCAAGAACCGATTTATATCCTACGAAAAAAATAGAAAAGGGCCTTGGCTATGGCCCACAGCCCTTATTTTGTTTCATTGAAATTGTTCAATAGCAGCGAGGCCGAGGCCCACGTTAGGCCAAATAAAGCCTATTTCCTTTTAAACAGTAAAACAGGTAGCGCTCACTGCTCAGTCTAACTACTCTCTCTGTTCACCATGTTTGTATTGTATTATGTATCACATAATCCTACTATTTAGAATGAAGTTTTTAAAAAAATATTTTGATATTAAATTCTTATAATATATTTTCAATTCCTACATAATGGAGATTATCACAAAATCTATTTGATCACAAATCTACTTGATTCAAGTCTCAACATTGAACATGTATATAGTGTAACCCGGGCTTTCCTGCATCAACATTTATCTTCATCAGTCCGCCTGGTGGGGGATCCACCGAGCCGGGCTTCATTGTGCTTCGAGCCGCGCCCTCCCTTGCGACAATGTTGAGACTTGCATAGTTGCATTAAGTAGATTTGTAATCAAATGGATCCACACCAAGCATAGATTTCCTACCCATTTTTCCAGCGTCATTTGGATCTATGTGGAAAGGAAATTACATCGGTGGTCTCGCGTGTATTATGTGGTGAAGATGATCCGGCTAGCTCTAATAAATGATACATTTATCGTTCTAATCCCAAATGTTGCTAGTCAGGAGGAGTTGGGTCAATTCAGACCGATTAGTCTGTGCAATGTTATCTTCGAGATAGTGTCGAAGGTTGTAGCCAACAGGTTGAAAGTGGTGCTTCCTAAGATCATCTCTAAAGAGCAATCGGCTTTTGTTCCTGGTAGGCTTATTACAGATAATATAATCACTGCTTATGAGTGTTAACACTTTATGAAGCAAAAGAAAGCCTGCAACCTCATGTGTTGTGCATTAAAGCTGGATATGAAGAAAGCTTACGACTGCGTTGAATGAAACTATTTACAGGCAATTATGCTCAAACTCAGCTTCCATCAATTATGGGTACAGTTGGTCATGAGGCTAGTCACCATAGTTTCATTTTCGGTTCTCCTGAATGGAGAATGTTTGAGCAGTTTTAAGTCGTCGAGATAAACATTCCAATTTTCATGTATGGTTAGTCCATTGTAAAGTGATGACCGGCAATTGTTATGAACTCTTTTGGCTTGTCGGTTCAGTCGTAGTCAGTAATGCAATAAAATTTGTGCATTATATATTATGCTGGTATTATCTGTTTGTGCATTATTCTTCTTAAGAATTTTGATCGATCGTGGTGGTTCCATAGTATTTATTACACTATTCTTTTCTATTTGCCTATTATCCTCGAGGACCTTCCATATACTTAAATCTCGCCTTTCTCCTGATTCATGCGTTGTTCTTGGCACTATAGTTTTATATGGTTATTGCAAAATGGTCCTATATCATTTGGAAAATCCTATTTCTACAAGAACTCATCACCTACATGTTTCATTTTAATTGAATTTGGTAATCATGAAGTCTTGATTGAACAAAACCAAACAGCTCGTACCATTTGGCGAATTTGGCCAAGAGGTGTCAGAATCACACGATTAGCACCATCTCGTCTGGTTTGGGTCCAGTCGGTGCTTCGAGCGGTCCCAATTTATGCGATGATGGCAGAGAACCTACCACCTTGGGCGCGCAAATGAAACAGATGCTATATGCAGGAAGTTCTTCTGGGCAGGCTCGGATGCGTCGGTACAAGGCAAATGCATGGTGCCCTGGCCGTCAATCTGCAAGCCAACGATGCTGGGGGGCTCGGGGTCAGCGATCTCAAGCTTGCCGGGTATGCGCTCCAGACCAGATGGCTTTGGTTGCAGAAGACGAACCACGATCGGGCGTGGAGCTAGGTTCAGGCGTTCTTCAGGGCGTCAACCTTTATGATGCTCGGTGATGGCCGCACGGCCCTCTTCTGGGAAGACCGTTGTCTGCAAGGAGAATCAATCAAGGACAAGGTACCATGTCTCTACCATCTAGTATCGAGGCGCACTCGTGCAACCCAAACGGTCAGGCAAGCATTGACACAAAGGCAATGGGTTCGGAGCATCACAGGTGGGCTGTCAACAACATCCATTGCAGAATACTTGGAGCTTTGGGAAGCCATGGAGTCCATCTAGTTCAGTAAACAGCCGGTTAAGCTCATATGGCGTTGGACACAATGTGGTTCTTACTCCGCCCAGTCCGCATATAAGATGTTACATACTAGATCCACCAAGTTCCGCGGTCACCAACTCATCTGGAAGACATGGGTGTCGCTGAAGGTGAAAATCTTCCTTTGGCTGGCCCTTCGACGTGGACATTGGACCGGGGACAGACGGCTGAGACATGGTCTAGAGGCGAGAGACTTATGCTTCCTTTGCGATCAAAAGCAGGAATCAATTGATCACATCATCGCCACATGTTCTTACACCCGTGACCTATGGCACCGCATCCTCCAAGTCCTATGCCGGCAATTACCGCAACCTGCATCGACAACCTTGAGCTGGTGGAAGCGCTTTCGGTCCGGTTGCGATGACCTACAGAGATCCAGCATGGACATGGACGCCTTGTTCGCGCCTTGTCTCTTGGCATATGTGGAAAGAGCGCAACGCCAGATGCTTCCGCGGTTCTTTGTCCTTAGTGAACGACCTCCTACAGATCATCAAGGTCGAAGGAGATCGATGGACACAAGCCGACGCGAACGGGTTCGGAAGCTTGGTGGGGCGGTAATGGTGTATCGTCCTTTGAGGCTTCTTTAATTTGGTTGTTTATGTCATCATGTAGAGCCCTTAATTCAGATCCGGCGCGGCCTCAGGTCGCAATCTCTTGTAACATAAACTTGCTTTTTTCTAATACAATGATATGCATACTCGTGCGTATTCGAGAAAAAGAATGTGTGCAGTGCAGACTTTTTTTTTCCGACCACACCGAAGTGCGTTTTTCATTAAGAAGAAAGGAGTTTCAAACAACAACTTGGAGACGGTAATCCAAGGTTACCGAACTCCAACGAACAACGAGCACCATAAAGCGATTACATAGCAACTAATAGTGTGCAGTGCAGACTTGTAGGGTTCATTGTTAGTTGAGCTTTAGCTGGTCCCAACAGTTTTTGAGATGTAGCTCCTGTCAGTGGGAAAACATATATTGCTGCCCTAGAACAATTGCTGGTTTATAGAGTTCTGTTGAACAAAATATTTTCACGATTAACCAAAGTCAGTGAACTAGAGGCAGATCTGAACCGAAGGGATCTACCCTTCGTCTGCCTATGGTTAGCAGCATCTCAGATCTCTGAGCCAAAAGATGCAACGTGCATGGCAACGTGCCATGAATAATGTGACAAAGTAAACGATCGTGCAAAAAATAAGCTGAGACTAGCCGCCAAAAACTATAAAAGTAGATCTCAGATCTCTAGAAAGAAAAGAAGCACTGAATGCCATCATAGAAATTGAAAAGGCTGTCACTAGATCCTTTTGTTTAAAGATCAGTTGGAGCAGAAACCGGAGAAGATCAGCTGATCATCAGGTTATCATCCGCATTATACATCCGCGAGTAGTCGTCCCAGCTGCGCCACACCTCCTCTCCTCTCCTCTCTGTAACGTGCACCCTAGTGTGTGCGAGCAGCTTTGCCAGCAATGGCGAGAGCTGCGTTGGTCCTGGTCCTCCCTGCTGCTCTACTGCTGTGCCTTGCATTGGCCGGCCGTGCGGATGCTGCGAGGAAGACGGTTGGGGTCTACGAGCTCAAGAACAAGAAGGGGGATTTCTCCATCAAGGTCACCAACTGGGGAGCCACCCTCTTGTCTGTCCTGACTCCAAAGGTATGCATGGTTTCCTTAGCTTCCAGCAAGAGTCCTTTTGCGTAATGCTTTGTGACTGCATAACGCTGGTTTACATGCTCATGTGAATTTCTTGCTGCAGGGGAACTTGGCTGATGTCGTCCTTGGGTATGACACTGTTGCTGAGTATGTGGTAAGATCACAGATCTCTCTGTTCTCACACTCGATCTAGAGCTTGCAGTGTGCATCATTCCTCTTCCTCCGGCGTTCAATTGTGCGCCCTCTGCTCAAACAGAACGGTTCTTCTTACTTCGGGGCACGCTTCGTACAGGCCGGTCTCAACATCTTCGTATTATATTATGTATCAGAATCCTACTTTTTAGAATGAAGTTCTTCTAAAAAATATTTTGATATTAATTTCTTATAATATATTTTCTATTCCTACATAATTAACATTATCACAAAATCCATTTGATTACAAATCTACTTAATGCAAGTCTCAACATTGAACATGTATATAGTGTAACTAATTGTTTGATGAAGACACTAAAAAGAGTGTCTCAAATCTGATATATACCAAGGAAAAAAAGGCTAATTGTGTTGATCAAAAGTTGCAAAAATAATAATATGTCTTACATTAATGAACGGAAAACGGCTTACTCTTTAGCTTTACGCATGACCGTCTCCATGTTTCCATACCACACGATTAAGCTAACTTGCTTCTAGCTTGTTTATGTACTGATGAATGTAACTGATAGATTCAGTTAGCAAATGCACGGGTGCATATGCGAGGGGACGTGCTGAGTTTGGCTATGTGTGTATCATTGTATTGTATGCTTAAATTAATGTCCATGTTTTTTTGAGGCAGGATTGCTAAAAGCTCAGAGCTTGAGAGGCCAGTTACATAAGATCAAACTGATTAACTTGTCATAAACGTAATATATTTAAAAACCGAGTGAGCAACTGTTGTGTGCATCGATCCTGATCGATTCGCATGATAGATACGGGCACTTTAAGTCGTGGTCATCACGCAGCCGCGCTACTCCTGCACGCCGCGACCGCGTAGCTCTTCCGGCAGGTGTCCCGGCACGCGGCCATCATCTTGCTGCCGGGCCGGAGCTGGCCGCACATCGAGAGAGCGCACGAGTGCTCGCAGTCCCGATCACGTCCTGGGCCTAGGACCGTCGTGCTGCCGGCGGCGGCGCACCTGTGGTAGCAGGAGAACTGGCAGAACCAGAACTCGTCGCGCAGCACGCACTGGTCGAAGCACGCGTGGAAGCAGCAAGGCCGCCCGCCCTGATCCACCGCCGCGGATCCTGCCCCGGGCGTGGACAACACCACCGCGACCACGACGATGGTGAAGCCCAAGGGCGCGGCCATGCCTCTGCCGATGCCCATTGCTTGCGGTCCGCCGCGTGCCTCTAGCACCGCTGGTGCCTGAGACCTCACCTCGATCGTTCGCGGACGGATGACTTGATCGATTTCGTCCGAGCGTGGCAGCTGGGTGTCCGGTTTTTATTGCCGGGGATCCCGGGACGGACGACTGCTCCGCACTGCGCGCGGGACACCGGCCGGGAGCAGTCGGAGGTCCAAGGAGGGGCAGCCGGGCAGGAAACGCGGATGTGATGCGGGGCTTTGCCGGTGGCTTGTGGCTGGCCGGCCGTACGTGTGCTGAGACGCAGACGGCGCGCAGCAGCTCATGGTTCCGGCATGATCGTCGTCGCTTCGGGCACACCGTCTCTTGGATAGTTGGATCTGCTGGACGTACGTCACCTCACCTGCCCCGTGCCGGGAGTTTAATTTGCCCCGATATTGCATAAGAAAATTACCTTGTTGCATAAGAACCGGCCATGCTGTCGCGCTGGTTACTAATCTCCTTCTAAGAGCAGCCCCAAAGAGGTTAGTTAGCTAGCACCTATATTCTGATTTGGTGATTTTTGCGTGGAAAATCGCATCCAACAAATTCAGAAAATGGCTCTCCAAAATACCTCATTTTCTGTTCCGGTTTTATCGCTCTCCAACTGACCGAGCAAACCTTTTCGTGTGCCATCCCTTTCCCATTCGCCCCACCCATTTCCCACAGTTCGCACATTCGTCAACGTCCTCCCGATCGCGCTGTCGTAGGCTTCGACGCCATGGGAGCTTCCTTGCCATGTCCCAGAGGTTGCAGCCTTGCAGGGCCTCGCCAATGAGGTTGTTTTGGACGACGCCGAGGCTGACAAGACTGCTCTCCCGACGTCCAGCTTCAACCTCGATGACCCCAACAACTTCGGCACCACAATCCACCCACCAGGCAGGCATGCTCAAACTTGGCCCGAGCATTTAATAAGGATGAGTCAGCTGGGGTTGACGTCGAGATGCCTCCGCTAGACGACGACACCAGCAGAGCAATATAAAGGATCGGACTCGGAGGTCAACTAAGCTGTCCTGATTAAGGATGAAAACGGTCGAACTCAGTCGAAAAACTCCTCAACCGTTTTCTACTTTTACATTTAAAATACGAAAGCGAAAGCGAAAGCGGATAAACCGGACACGAAAACAAACACGAACTTACGGAATATCTAGAATTTCGGAAACGAACCAATTCGAGCGGAATTATGTCGAACACGGTCGGTATGCGAAAATTCAATACGAAATACCGACCCACAGTGCATACCATTAAACAAGTGCACGACAAAATACATAACAAGTTCACAACTAACAAGTGCATGATCTAGTTCAAGTGCATAACATTAAACAAGTGCACGACCAAATACATAATAAGAGAGATGAGGCTGGACGCCGTCTATAAGAGAGGGCAGCTAGCCACCAGTAGAAAGAACGCAGCTGCGTGGTGAGCAGCATGTAATTGGGTTGTATGACCTGTGCAGTTGGCCAAATTCGGTTTAAACCGAATTTTGAATTCGGAATATTTCAAATTAAAAGTAGAAAAGTAGAAAACGGTCGAAAAATGTGTAAACCGTTTTCTACTTTTACATTTGAAATACGAAACATCTCAAATGCGAAAGCAAAAACGATAAAGTCGGATAAGAAAATGTGGATTCGATCGGATTAAATATAAAAAACGATGCGCTTCGGTTCGGGATATTTCCGTTGTTGCTGTTGCACACCAGTCTGTGACTCTGTGCCCTCCGCATATACGTGTTCTACAGTTCTAGGATGGATTGATCTCTCTCTCTCTCTAGTGCTCAGCATCTCTCTCATCTCCTCTTCATTCTATCTTAGATTCTCTCGCCACTTTTTACCTCTGTTCACGAGGTTTGAACATCTGGTCAGTTCATGACTTCATGGTGTGATCTATTTCAGGCTCACTCGTTTTGATTTTTATTTATTCGAGACACTCATAGCTGCAGTTCTATATGCATTTGTATCCTCTCCTCTAAGATTTGCTTTTTTCCTTCTTTGACTCACCGGTAGATCCAGTTCTAGATGCATTCGTGTTTTTTCAACCTCTAGTCGACATCTGTGCGCTTCTTACTTAGTCCATAATACATAGAGTATGGTTTTTCAACCTTCTACGCTACATTTGCTTTGGGTCTATAAGTAGAAGATTCTAAAGGCGTTATGCTAGTGTACATAATCTATGCAACATATCTTGTTCTGATTTATATATACTCTAATCTCATTACTCAATGAAACATTTTCAAATAACTCTTACTAACAGAGCATTCATTGTAATATGTGCTGAATTATTTCCTTTTTTTCTATTTGTTTGGTATGTCCCTAAGAGGCATATTAGGGTAGCTAAATGGTGATAGCTGGCCTTGAAAGTGGAGCATATTTCAACATTTAAATCAAGGTTTTTAATTTCGGTATCGCCAAAATTTCGGCCACCACCGAAATTATCGAATTTCGCGAAATTCGGCTGAAATTTCGCCGAAATTTTTTTAGAGATTAGCACATGAAGTATGTTTTTTCTAAAAAAATTTGGATCTAAACAAATATTAGTATGATTTATGACTACATATCTATTAAATAGAAGAATATGCAATATAAACAATAGAAAAATATAAGATTAGAGTTATATAGCACATATATTAGTGTATTAAAAAAATTCGGAGTTTTCTTTCGGCCACCACCGAAATTACCGAATTTCGTGAAATTCGGCCGAAATTTCACCAAAATTTTGAACCCTGATTTAAATCCATAAAAAAAACTTTGTTAGCCTTCTTTTTAGTTAATTGGAGTAGAACAAATTAAAGGACAATGCCTCAAGATACTTATACATTTTATTTATAATTATAGAACTTGTTTAAGATGCCTAGTTTAGCTTCAAATGTTGTGTTGTCCAGTTTATGCGTACAATGTTTTGTTGACTTTCCTACAATATCTGTGTTTTCTTTTTTATATGGATTGATTTCTTGTTCTTGTTCTTCATTTCCCCCAAAAAATAGAAAAAATGGTCTGATGTTAGATCAACTTCAGCATTATTATCTTAATGGAACTAAATGTGTTTTCAAAATAAACATGTAATACTTTAATTTATGGTGTAACTGATACATTAATAGTTTTGAAAGATTTTTGGAAGGAGAGTACTGAGGTTGGACCAAATGACATCGTTGCAACACTAGAAGAGCCCATGTCAGTGAATTAGTGGTCATCTTTTTGCCAAGTGAGGCTAAGTTGTTTAGGGTGGCAATCTAAATTCTATTTTGCATAACACAAGATTATGTTTTATTTTCCACCAAAGACAATATTTTCAATTTTGTTTTATAGTTAAAGGTGTGGTTTTCCCCTTTTTGATAGATTTTAATTTTATTTTGTTTTAAAGAAAAGTGAATAAAGGATTTATATTTAAGTTGTTACTCCCATTATCAACAAAGTTGCAATCTCATATATGTTTAATCTCAATAAAATTAGTAGAAATAGTCAACATCATATAGTCTTTAAGTCATCAGTTACGTTAAATTCAGACAAATAGTAATGTTTGAAGCATTGTCAGACTATAACTGGTAGCAACAAATGCATTTCAAATGCACATAGATCCAATTGTGCCTCTTGCAATTACTCAAGTAGAAATGGATGATAGTGGGATGAATAAAGGTGGCAGTGAGAGAAAAAATTGTACTAATGCAATGAACTGATGGCTAGAGAAACATAAGGGAGCTATTGTGCTTCGTACAATGATGATGGTGCTTTCTCAGGTGAGGATTTCTTTGTTTTGTCTTTGAATATATCAGTAGTAAGGAATCTCAATAAGATATGAAGAGTTGTTTGGTGATTTATTAAATTAAAGTAATCTAAACATGAGTTAAAACATAGAGCTTTATTCTATAATGTGCTAATTTCTAAATTTAAATGATTGTTTGGAACATTTACTCCAAGACACTCTTCGTATTTAACTTCAAGCAACATCACTAGTATAAAGCTCTTTGTGTCTTAAATTGGTAAATAAATAATTGCTTGTGTTTAAATCTTGAATTGCATTGTGTATTGTACTAAATGCCATTTTGCAAACATGATTTCATCATACTACTATGGTACTGGTGTTTGTGAGATTCAAAGGAATACATGTATCCAGAGAAAATTTGATATGTATATTGCCAGCTTTGTTTTGGTTCAAATTCTTAATGGATGTGTAATGAATAACATGTTTACTCAACTCTTTTAGCCAACTACTGAGAGATGAGCATTGTGCCATAGCAACAGTGTCGGGGACCAAATACTGGGGTACCCAAAGAGGAGGAGCTAATAACCATCAAACGTTGATGCTTCCGAATAGACAAGAACGCAACTACACTTCTTGCCCAACGACCGAAGGTTGGCTCCGCCTCGCCCGAATCCCGAAGGGCTGGCTCCGCCTCGCCCGATGTCTGGGGGCAGACTCCGCCTCGCCCGACGACTGAGGGATGGCTCCGCCTCGCCCGACGTCTGGGAGTAGGCTGCGTCTCGCCCGACGTCCGGGGTTGGGCTCTGCCTCGCCCGACGACTGAGGGACGGCTCCGCCTCGCTCGATGTCTAGGAGCAGGCTCTGCCTCACCCGATGTCCGGGGGCTGGGCTCCGCCTCGCCCGACGACTGAGGGATGGCTCCGCCTCGCCCGACGTCCTGGGGCTAGGCTCCACCTCGCCCGATGTCCAGGGGCAGACTCTGTCTCACCCGACGTCCAGGGACAGACTCCGCCTCGCCCGACATCTGAGAGTAGACTCCGTCTCGCCCGACGACTAAGGGCAGGCTCCGACTCGCCCGACGTCTAGAGACAGACTCCGCCCCGCCCGACGTCTAGGGGCAGACTCCGCCTCGCCCGACGTCCAGGGACGGACTCTGCCTTGCCCGACGTCTATGTGCTACTCCTTCATAACTGCGCGTGCTGATAAGGCGGGACACTCAAGTCAACGGCAATACCGAGGACCATACCCTGCACTCATGCAGGAAAGTACCATCAGGATACGACAAGTC